TCTAACGCAGGACGTGGTTGAATAAGCAATCTTTACTGTGAATTACCGATAATTCTTTTTTCAAATGGTAAATTTACAATTTAATGGAGATTGAAACACAGGTGATGGAAACCCCCTGTTATTGTGATCCCAGCAACAACACTGCACCCCTATCACGGTTGCCCTTGAGGAAATTCTCTCCAACCACACGTCACAGAAGCAAAAGCCGCACTGATTCATGTTTAATCCAATTGATATATTAGTGAAGTGAAATGTCAAATGTCTATTCATCAGGCCCACCAACCGAAACACACAATGAGGAAAATTCATTTACAAGATGATCATCCCAACAGACCTGACCTTTTTTTTTAAGGGTAGGGGAAAAAAACCTCATTAGCCGTACAAGAGTGTCGCAGCAAAGCGAAACACAAAAGCAACAGCTATATATATCTAGAAAAAAAAGCGCTTAGGGGTTTATGGAAAAGTGATATCGGAGCGGCATTACAAAGGCTAACGCCATCATTACGACATCCCATCGAGATCCGTATCTGTGGCACCAATTCATCATGCCTGACTGCTAATGATTTCTCCTACACCCGATGTGATAAATATCCCGGGCTCGTTCCACTTCGATTTGTGGATGGCTCTTTGGTTGAAAACGAACTCTTTCGTTTCACATGGATCGCCAGGGCACTGCACAAACACTGCCTTGGCGACGGTGGAGGCGTGTTTCGTGAGCCGTTACAATGATGAAGAGTTTATCTAGCCAGCTCTGTCGTTTGCCTCTCCTCCGCAGTTATTATACGACCTGGTCTTTGTTTCTATTTGCTCAGGCCTGGGATGCGACGACGCCAGCCTCGGGTTAAAAGCATTCCATGGATTTAGAGATATCTGCATGCCAGACCCATCAATCAAATTATGGGTAATGTACACGGAATTGCAAAGGTGCTCGGCCGCTGAAATTGAATTATTTTACACTTAGTTATACAACATTAAAAATGTTCAGTTGAGCCAAAAGCCAGGATGGAGTATTTCGTCACATCACTTAATGTCATTTTAATTTCGTGCATAGGCCATTAAAGAAGCAAGTTGCTTTACCAAAAGATTCGGCTAACTGTTGTCGAAGTCCAATTTGATCGTCTGGGGAGCTTAATAATTCAACTGAGGAAACCCCCCCACATGAAACCGTACATTGGGAGTCCGAGTTCGTTTTACAGATTCTGTCAATGTCAATTCACAGGAAGGTATACACATACTGATAACCTGAGCGGAATAGTTAAAGCGGAATAAAGATTCCCTAACCGTTATTACTGAATCATAGCTCGTTACTCAACCTTGCAATATGCGTATATGGAATCGCGACCCGTATTCCGTATTCGCAATCCGTAATCCATGATTACGGAATCGAAAAGACTCCCGCTATATTCGTTAATTATTACTGAATGGCAGGTAGTTACTACGAACTTGCAATCCGTACACGGATTCACTATCCATGATTACGGAACCGCAAGATTCCCTATCTGTTATTATGCGCCAAATCAAATCTCCCCCCCCCCCGTGCTGCCCCTGGTCCGACGTTGGGGTTTGGTCACGTGTTTCATGCCCCAGGGTGGGGATTTTGGTCACTCAAAAACATTGTTACCATTGCCGTACTACATGGAAAGGCTATCACTAGTGTGCCCCACGTATGTATGTCGGAGATAGTCACTTAAATTTTGCCCGAGGTGTGGGGATTTTGTCGCTTCCAAAGTGACAATCCCCACGTCTTGGGTGGGGCAGCCGGGGGGGGGGGGGAGGTGGCGGGGAGGGGGTGTGACAATTGATAGGTGCATTACTGAATCGCAGCTAGTTACTACGAACCTGCAATCCGTACACGGATTCACTATCAATGATTACGAAATCAAAACTTGGGAATCCGGAAACGGAACCGAAATCTATTACGGCGGAGTCAAAATTCGTTATTACGGAATGTCAGTTCGAGAATTACGGATTCGCAATATGATAGATAATACGTATCGCAGTTCTTCATTGTGGCTTGGTAAGTTGTTTTTCATTGGCACTCACGGGCTACTGTACTCTTCGTTTCGGCTTAAGAGACAAAACAAAAACATGTTTATATTTTCAGAAGTGTCAACGCGAACTTTGCAATCTCCGACAATCTCAGCAGGTAATTAGCTTCTTCATGTCGAGGGAGGGGTGGCAAGTTAATCAAGCGAATGATGAATCAGAATAATGATACATTGACGTCTCTGCGACTGGCCGACCCACGCGGCACGATGATATACTCAATTATGTATAAGATCATTAATTTCAGCTACAATAGGACGAGGAATATCTATTAATTTTAATGACGGCGTCAGTTTGAACAATTAGTTGACCGATTCATTTTGACATATTCATGCCACAGTGCGTAAAAAGGGCAGGATAATTTTACAGTAGCCAGTTACAGTATGTTGGGCCAAAATAAAACAGCGAAAACGAACGGAATAGGTCGAGCGTAAGTTAAATAAAAACAAAACATGCACAGGAAACGTCAAACTTATAATGAAACGACGATTAATCTTTAAACTGAGATACATCTGAAGCACAAATAAAAATATTTTTACACTTACATAGACCAACGTGGAAAAATGTAAAACTTCAAAGCAAACCATTTGTGATTGACCTTAGCTTTTAAATTGTGTCTTTTTTGAAGCACATTGAGCGTCTTTTAGGCAGAATTTGGCGCTATATAAATTGTCATGATCAATATTATTTATTATTATTCTTCATTCACAAAAGAAACAAAAATACCAATATTTTGGATCATCAACGAGCGTATACACTGACAACCATATTAGGAAGTAACTTAAGTAATGTATCAATTAAATCTTCGGACAAAGAAATAAAAGTGTAATATATAGTCCCGTATGTTTTTATGTTTTAGTGACACGTTCCTTCAGTGGACGACAAAACACAAACAAAAACCGGCATATATTTTAACCGTCAGATTTTGTTATCAATAATATTGTGCACCCTATGGTGTGCGAATCGCCGTAAATTCAGTCGGTGCACGAATTATTCAGAAGCAAACACGCGGTCCCTAGCACGAAAATAAACAGGGGATGTCGGATAATCCTAACTCCGAGGTGTTTCTCCACATTCCCCCGAGTAAATCCGCGTGTGTGTGTTTGTTAGTTATTCTCGCGCCAATATAGATCTTGCCATTTTGTCAAAACACGAAAGGTCGAATTTATTTTTCCTGTGTTTTGAAGAACCGACGACGTCAGATAATTAAGACCCCCACCTGGTGTCCCAATGGCAGGATTTTCTACTTGTCTCTGGGCGTGTTACAGGAAAATGATGTTTTGTTTGGTGATATTTTATGTAGTCACAAGATGATATATCCGTGAATATGTCCAAAGAGTTACGACTTGTGTATAACAAAGCCCTGGCGATCTTTCATCAATTAATCTTACAGTGTCGAAAATTTTTCAAAACACATGCTAATTTCTTTTTGAAAGTCGCTAAGCTATCGTAAACAAAACATTCCTTGTCGAAAGAAAGAGTAATATACAGTTACGTGTACACCCCCATTTCTCAGACCATTACCCCTGAACTAATTATTAACCGAGTATACCCTATCTGCTATTTTCACAATTCATCAATTTCATATTTTAGTTTTCACAACAGTTATTGTCAGTTATTGTCGCAGGTTTAATTGATCTGAATTCGCTTAAATGAAATTATCCAAGTTTCGGAATTGATTGTATATTGCAAGACTGTTTTAAGCCCCTATCAGTATGAAAAGACGAGGACGTTTATTTTGGGTGCGATCGGACACAGGAGGGCGCTGTAGCACATAATGGAAAGGCTAAAGGCCAATAAGGGTCCGAAAACATCCACGCAGTGGCTTTCAAATGCATCAACAGCCTACAGCAAGTCCTAGCGATTCTTCGAATTAGAAGGGTTGTTGGTGAATATTCCAATTTTAACGACAAAAATCGTAAATTGGCTGTAATTCAATCCAGTGATGAAAGGGGGTGTAATCCAATCTCGTCTATTTATAGCAAATCGGCGCAGTGAGCAGACGTTAATAAGATAAAAAGCCTCATTATCATCATCATCATTATCATCCTCATCGTGTTGACCTCAGTCAACCACTCCCGGCAATACCGTCACAAGCACATCCATGTAGGATGAAAAGATCATCTCGAAGCGGGACCCCCAGGCGACATGACCGCTCACGAGGGACTGTAAGACTGGAGACATTAATACGACCTGACGGTAGACGAACTCATTAACTAAAGGCCAGAACACCTGATACTCTGTCTTTTAATTAATCCTCTTTCATTATTGGCCGGTCGAAGACATATTCGTTCCACGCAGATATAAGGTATATTCTATTTAAAAACCTTCTCCATTCCACACAATAGTCTTGCATTTATGATTCAATGCCCTTTTTCTTTAGATGGTCTGATATATGTTTCCATGCAGGTTATTAAATATTTTTAGTGAGATTTTTCTTAATACACTTTCATTGTAACATTTGCAATGATATCCGTTCATGCGCGGTTAATGTTCCTATCTCGTGGTGTCCTCACAATGTTTAGTCTCTGATTCAACTGCCTTGTTCCATGCGCACTGAGAACAATCAGTTTTTATTTTAACAATTAAATGCCCTTTGATTGATTTGGACAAACTGTGCATTTCTGAATACAAAAAAATGGGTTGATGACTGATGCTAAGACAAACTTTCCCGACATCACTATTAGCTGGCAACGTTTTAGAGCTCAATGTGTTTCTTCCATGGCATCTTAAAGCTAACGTTCTTTTGAATATCTTTTTAAACCAGGACTGAGAAAATGGATATCGACTGACCTGTCTTGTTTTATCAAACCTTTTTTAATGAAAATTTATTTGGCGTTTGTCCAAACAAACAGCACTCCAATGAAAACCCAACACTGGTGAGTCCTTAATTTCGAAAACTGAGACGACAATTAATGGTGAACAACTTTACAGAGATGAAGGTATTGCCTTACCTGCAATGGTGAGCTTCTGGACGACAGGTCAGTGAACCCCACGATGTCGCTGAAGAATATGGTGACACTGTCGAAGGACTCGGGAACGACTTGCATACCTCGCTTGAGTTGATTAGCAACTGGCCTGGAATGGAAAAAACACAACGAAAACAGACTAATCAAAAGGAATAGCTTTCATGAATACCATGGAAATCACCACAATAGGGAGACCCTTTTTGGGGTAGAAGTAGTGGCTCAGTGTATGCAGGCCTATCTTGCTACGAAACTCACTTTCACCATGCCACAATTTTGAGGTATATTCAGAAACTTATATTGCGCCCAGTCCAACGCAAATAATTTTCAACAAACAGACAAGTAAAAATATGGTGTCTTTTCTTTCTATAATATTGAATAAACCAAGAACTAACAAATTAAAGAACTTTTCTTCCTGTAATATTGAATAATTTACTGAGTAAAACCAAGACAAAAACAAATTAAAGAACTTTTCTGCATTTGGTATTTATTTTGCGGGGAATCCAGACTTCATCCAAACATTGAGCTCTTTATAGGAAATTACATTCAATGTTCACCATAAACGCATTTTTTGTTTCGTGAACGATTAACCTCAGACACTACTACATGAAACAATCGAATTTTATCATTCTCAGAAATCCATTTTTTTTTACATGAAATTTATCGCTTAATTAAGCTGAATTTAGGAAACTCTGAAACTCTGTGGAACCTGGAGCCATGGGCTTGCTCAACTGGGAATATTTACCATAATACCACAAGCCATCAGACAGAACTGAACAAACAGAGCTTATATAATTACACCTGTGAAGGGCATAACGCCAAGATTGAAACGAGAATCCAGGCTTTGTGAACCCATCTTACTTGGGCAGCATCCTGTGGAGTAGATTATCCGTCTTCTTCTTCTCCTCCACGAGCTGGTGTGTCCGGTCCTCCACTATCTCCTCCAGATTGTTTGCATATTTCTCCATGATGGCCATCATGTTATCCAGGATGTCGGACTTCCTGCACGTAAACCAAATACCAGCCGGATAACCTTTGCTAGCGTGGTCAGATACCAAACTCATTAATCAGTGTGCCGTGTCAACAAGCGCTCAGTCCCAAGACAAGCCCTGGATGGCAACTTTGGAATTTGTGTCGATATTTGGTGCACAGAAAACAACCCCCAAGAGAGGATTTTGGTTAAGGTGGCTATCCAGAACCTTCGGTCAGAACGAAGGTAATTATTTTTCGTATTGCTGGAAATACCCTAAAAAAAATTTCTGAATAACATCATAAAGAATCTCAATTAGTTGCCTAAGGCCATTGATCTCTGCATGCGTCGATTTCAACACCCCTCTTTTCCCTTGAGAAGTGATGGATGTTAAAATACATCAGCCACACAATTAAAAAAATGGCTAGATCTACCGTTGTCTCCTTATCAAGCTGATTATTTCGTCGTTTTAGTCTGCTGTCTCGCTCGCTTAATGGTGGAAGAGATGACGCCCCCACAGGGGAAAACAGGAAAATATTGCTAGTGGTGGCGCTGTTTGCTACAACCAGTCATAATATTATTAACTATGTGGCATTAGGTTTACTAATATATCATTTGTAATGGTTTAAAGTTATGCAGCCGCACATATCCATTGGGTGCTCAAAGCAAATGCGAGTTTCAACTTACAGAGTGGAAAGCACAAACAAGTAGACTTGATTATTCAAAAAACAGTCCTGACGCTGATGAAACTAATGCTAAAACCCTTTTCAGTAGCAAATCAAACGATTAAAAATAAAAAAGCCCATGTTTACTCGCTGAAGAGTGGCACAGAATTATCCACTTTAAAACGGATATAGGCTAAATATTCGTAAAGCCAACAAAACCAATTCAGCAGCCACATTTCGAAGCTATAAATACTCAGGTGGCATCGGGCTCAATAGGTACCATATATGCTTGTAATTTGTACGTTCCCGTGCAGTTGTAAGCACCCTTTTTGTGGCGAAGGAGCATTGAGAAACGCGCAACAACCAGGTGATTGCTGTATTTAATACTCAATTTACACCAACGTAAGTATATCAGGAATTCTCACATGCCACTGTGGAGCGGTTTGAGTTTGACTCTGATAGTCTTGAAGTCTGGTCTCTGGTCTGGTACCTCGTGCCAGCACTCCTGCATGGTGGTCAGTAGACACTCGTGACAATCCTCCACCTCCATCACGTTAGGCCGGAAGGGCATTGTGGGATCGAGGGGGTACTTCACCTTATCGATTATTTCTGCAATGAACAATATTACAAATCTCAACTTTAACACCGGTCTTACATGGTGATACAACTTTGGTTTGATGAGACCAGTATACGAAGTATTACTTTGGAAAAATGTGTAACCCTATGAGGCTTTCTGCAAGGAGTATACTCCTCCGGCTCTTTGCCACTTGAAAGGATGACTTCAATCCAACCCCTCGTCGTTCGTTTCCCTAAACATCTCAGTATTTCAACACAAATGGTGTCAGAAGTGGGACAAATATCAGAGGATTTTTCCCACTCAGAATCACCCTGAACATCATCCAGACATTACAATCCATTAGACACGGTAGGCTCGAAAGGATTCTTGTTTAAATGTGCCCTAATGGTACCGGTATACAAGAATAAGACGAGGAGAGCATGTGCACCTCCAAAACAGAGCATACCATACCACCAGCGCAAGCTAGTTCGGTCTTAATATGTTAGGGCTCTTCAAAGTTGCCAGAGTCCGCTGTTGAAAGGTCCTAAATTATGATTATTCTGAAACCCAGCGAGAAATAGCACATCACTCTTTTGCTACCGTGGCACTGAAACGGCTCAAATTGACATGAAAGTAGAACACGAATGCGACTGAGGCGAGGCAAAGACTTCGTATAAGCGTCGCATTTCACAGTGGTCTTGTGACAGGATTTGCCGACAAGATCCGATCGCTACACTGCCTAACCGAGAGAACCCTCGTCCCAAATTTAGTGGGGAAAAAACCTGAATTACGAAAGATATGAGTATATCAGGTCGCAGGGAACACCTACAGCAGTACTGGAATAGCCACTATCATGTGACAGGTTGCTAATGGGATTAAATTAAGAGTTGATCCTATAAGTGAAGGTATGAGAAGTTATCTTTTGCGACGCGCAGGGACCTGCAGGTCACCTTGGTAATTTCTGTATCACTTTCGGCCCTTGGGAGTAGGAACCTCCATCCAGTCACTCAGATGGCTGATCAACTTTCGTTTAATGCGCAGGATCATATCGCCTATAGGTTCCAGGCTGTGAATCAGTAGTGTTTTACCAAGTTTCAAAGCGTGTGGGAAGATTAAACGAAAAATGCTGTCGGGCTGCCGTATCATGAGAAGCTCATGCTTTCAAATGAGGTGGATGACAGCACCGGATGAACATAGCGTGACATTCTCATGTTTTGTTGGGGCACAGTTGTCTAGATTTGCCGTTCGTGAACTTGTTTCATATGCTACAGTGCTGTACATGCGCATTGATAAATATCTATTCTGTCTGCCTCGGCCTGTCTCTACCTGATTCATATTGATTAAAGGAGTGATTATTAATGACGCTTAGACTTGATCACATTGTGTGGTTTTGATATCTGTTATTTGAAATGAAGTGCGGTTTAAGTCAGTGATCACTTCAAAGCAAAGAATGAAACCATATTACCGAGCTCCTCTGTTGTGCAACTTCTAGATAACCTTTGATATGCATTCATTAAATACCAGGTTACATAAAAAAAGTTTGATAGATACCTTTTCAAATGCATGTTTAAGTCAAGAAAAAACTCTCACATTCACACGTAATATGAACGCACACTCTTGTTTTACTATACTCCCGAGGACAAGGCTTTGTGTTTTCCTTTATGCCTGTAATTTAACACTCTCCCATAGACTAAGCACATGAACCTACTACAGAGGACCGTTTTGAACAAAAGATCCCACTCCCGAGGACTGAAAGGATCTGTTGTTCTTCCTTTGTGGTCTGTCCTCGGGGGTGATCTAGAGCAAGTACAAAATAACAGGTTCTGACTTTTACACGTGAGCCTTCAAAGCTACATTACCTTTGGGTGTGAGAGCACAGTTTCCGAAGGGTCCATTTCTGTGGACTAACTCGTATAGAATAATTGCAAATGAGTAGATATCACCCTTCTGTGTGCCTTCCGATGGAGCGTGTGTGTCTCTCAACAGCTCGGGGGCTTTCCATAAAAAACCTGAAAAAACAACAACAAATAAATAAATACAAATAAGATGGATACCCAGGGAAAAGAACCAGCGTTTGGCTTGATTTAACCCTCCTACTATTTAAGAGGTCACAATTGGTCAAAATTTTCTTCCTCACCTCCTGGCATACTGTGTACAAACCAATGGGGGTTTTGACCAATATTGACCCAATTTTCTTCCTCACAATCGGTCAAAATTTCCTTTCTCACCTCCTGGCATACTGTGTACAAACCAATTATAGGGGTCTTGACCAATATTTACCGAATTTTCTTCCTCACCTCCTGGGATACTGTGATCAAACCAATGGGGGTTTTGACCAATATTGACCCAAGTAATAACAAGGCTGACAATGCATGTTTTCATGAGGGTTAACAAAGAAGCATAGCAAAGGGCGATAACTAATACGACCTCCTGTAGGCGCTAACACAGAAGGTTTGGCCAATTAGTGGAAATGTTTACTTTTCCCATCTTTTTCATCTTTAATCAAGATTTTGATACCCACCCAGAACGTCATGTGGGTTAGCTTTACAATCTCTGCCTGATTTTTAGGGTTTGCTTCCAACGTTATAATAGCAAGCTTCTCCTTATTACCTATATAAGCTTCCGAGCCAAACTGGCTCTGTACTTTCCAAGGGTCCACGACATGAATTTTACTTTGGTGCCTATAGACCATTATCATGTTGCAGCCATTTGATTTTTTCCCCATTCAAATCAATGTAACCAAAGCGAGGCTGGAGGGGAAAATAGTCTGGTTCCTTTTTGCACAAAAATATTATCATTCAGTACTGTCGATGGCTACAGGGAACATGACTAAAATGGTGGAAGCATGATATAGGTCTATTGTGTTCAACTTTCTACTCCTTTTTAAAAAGTATGAAACTATTTGACATCCCTGTTTCGTTAAATGTGTTGAAAACTGCACTTCTTTAAACATCTAAAATTGTCCATGCTTTTCTGGACAACTGAGGGCGCATTCTATGTGATGTCTTTTCAAGAAGACACTTTCAGTCTAGAGGTTCTCTTTTCAAATTGTGAACCCAAACATTTCCTCATTGAAAACATTTCTGAGAAAAGTGTATGTGCCCACTGACGTAGTACTGTCATGTACTGACACAATAAGGCATCGCCAAAGAAAAGAAACTTTATGACAGAAAAATATCCAAAATAGTCTGGTAACTTTTGATGCTTAAATAGTTAACATTTGGGTTTCTGCCTGAAAAGGCATCACTCTTTTGCTCATGATTATGGAAATTCGTAGTAGCATAAAAACTAAAAAGCACCAAATTACCCTTGAAAATATCCAAACGAAAATTAAAAAAAAGGTTAAATGAGACACAAAGGTGCACAAAGGATTGCATTAAAACATTTACATTACATGGCTCTTTAATGCCTTTGGTTTCAATATCGGAAAGAATTAACTAAAATTAATTCAGTGCGTTAATTAATGCTGGAGTTAATTAAAAATCAAATTCTACCTTTTGAGATGTAATTCTGTTAAACATAAATACATGTACATCAAAGTTAAGTCGCAGTCGTTGTGGATATTGACCAACAAATTCACTAGGCTGCTAGCTTATTCCGCTGAAAATATATAGGAGTGCACGTTTTGTGTCAACAACTGGGCTTTTTGGATGACGAGAAAATTTAAGTAGGCGTTGGTTTGAACTCACTCTGATAGAACGCATGCTCGCCCATATCGGGGTTTTGATGGCCCGCCTTAAAATGATGCAGGCCAAAATCCGAGATCTTGAGAACCCATCGGCTGTCCACGACACAGTTGGAGGATTTGAGGGTACCGTGGGAATGCAAGACGCTTGTGTGTAGATGACTCATTCCCTGGGGAAAAAAGGGAAAAACGGCAAGTAAAATATAGCTCAGAAAGCGAGAATATTCACACACTCGACCTGTCATCACAAAATAAGCTTGAAGTCAGAAATTGCAATTATACCGTGGGGTAAAGCCAAAATTTGAAAGATGGTCGATTTTCTTTCTTCAGCTGAACCTTAATCTGTAAGTACTGTTGTACTTTTCTCCATTTTTTTGTGTTCAGTCAAACATTTTTAAAATCTATTTTCACCCCGTTTTAATAGTTCAGTGTTAATTCAACACAACTGCAGGATTTTTATATGGCATTTTCTCAAGAATCAGTTTTAAAACTTCAAGTAAGTTTGTGGTCTATATTAATGTTACCGAAATTCAGTAAGCCTACCCTTAAATGTTATATACCCTTTGAAAGCTCTTGTTCTGTAGAATCCAGATAAATAACTCGGTTCTTAAAACGCCCGACCGTAAGCTCATTTTGCTATGACTGGTTATTATTAGAACATGACAAAAATAGTAATTACCGAAAATTGTAACTTCTCATAACCAACGTTTCCCTAAAAAGTGCCTCCCTATATAAAAGCACAACTGAACAGTATTCGCCCGTATGAAGAATTGATTAACTTGTAAAGATAGCGGACACGTCACTTATAGCAGTCTCATTGATATTGAGAAGAGAAGAGCGATTAGACAACAGAGGGCGCTATAAGTAAAACTTGAGTTCATTTCTAAGAGCAGCATAATTCTGGCACGTACCTTTATAATATCCGACACCAGAGAAGCGATGAACATGTTGTCCAGTTTGATATCATCATTCTCTAAAATGTCCTGTTGAGGAAAGACCAAAGAGTAAGTTGGTGTTTGCAATCATTCAAAATTATCGAGTATAGGCGTTTAGATATTGTGTTTATTATACAAAAAAATTATTATATCAATATGAAAGAATGCCAGAGGAAGTATTTACCTGTAAACTACCTCTAGAGCAATACTCGGTGATAATACAAATGTTTGGTGCATCGGCACAGGCACCAACAAACGCACAGAGATTGGCATGACAAAGATCTCTCATCTGAAAGGAACAAACAAAGACAGTTGTAAAATAAACAACACTTACCAATTGTTTTCAATTATATGAATTTCTCTGTCTAATATTTCCCCTAATTTACAATTATAGTACGGTTTGCCCCAGCTAAGGAATTGGGTTTTAAAAGTGAGGACCGTTTTTCTTCTTCAGAACAAAATTCCTTTGGTATACCCTAGCCCAGGTGCACTCCCTAACCGCACTACGTCAATCGTAATTCAACATAGAGGGCGTCCAACCTGGGCAAGGTCCCGACTTTCTACCATAAACAATAGTGGAGCACTGTGGTCCAATGGCTACAGTGTTCGACTCACGTCACGTGAGTTCGAACTCTGACGGGGGACATTGCGCTTGTGTTCTTGGGCAAGACACTTTACTACAATTGACTCTTTACTGCCAATTACCTGGGAGTATTAATGGGTACCTGTGAAGGTAGAGACCAGAATGCGCTGATCTCGAGCTGCTGCAAAAACTGGGTTCATGGCCTGATTAACAGAGGTAACAATTGTGAAGCGCTTTGAGACAGCTTCGGTATAAAGCGCTAGCTCCCCATTATTATTATTATTATTATGAATAGCAATAGAACAGTTTTTTTCAATGATGAAGAGGAACAATGGATGAGATTGTGAGGCACTGTTTTATTTTCAATTAAGCATTTGGTAACCGATTTTGGTTCCTGGCTAGATATTTTTTATATTCAGTATGTCCGATCACAAACGTACAATCTTCAGTTCCAGACGAACACTTCTGTTGAGATCCACGCTCTTCTTATCCAGTGTCTTGATAGCGACCACAGAACCCTTGTAGACGCCGACTTTGGTGTATAATTGACTCTTAAATATAGAACCACGGCTGTCTGTGGTGATCAAGCTAAACTGAAGAATAAATATAAAACATGGCAAGAATTATTAAATTCGTTCTGACTGCAAAATCCAAATGTTCTAAATATACTTTTTTTATTTTTTTTATTTTTTATTTTTTTTTTATTGTAGAACGACATCTCAGATGCGACAAAAACATTTTAGCACCGGCTTTCAAAGTACCCTTTACCGGATGAATATTATTGATAAACTCATACGTCCTTCTTCGTAATGAAAGTGCTTTTCCTGTTTTAATCCTGCGTATATCCATATAAAAGCCATTCATATAATTATAGCTCTCAACGTTAATGAGACCTTGGACTTATACTGATAAGCCCCAGCGAACAAACCTAGTGCTGATTGAGGTATTGAATGACACAGCACCTCACCGGACTAAGGGTTGAGCGCCCTCAATCGTTAATAACTACAATTTTCTGATTTTGTACGTTTTATCCAATCGGGTATATTATTTTTTAACCCTTAAAATTTTAAGTATAACTTCAATAGTTCCTATTTTAATGTTTATTTGTGTAATAATCGGGGTTTTTTAAACTCCAAAGTAAGCAGCCATTTTGTTTCGGTGCACATAGAGATTTTATTACGTAAAACGTGGTCTGATAGTAACAACATTTAACCATAGGGAAATATAAGAACACTAGGCAACTAAATTTTGTAAAATCGATTTTTCTGAAAAGGCTGATCGAAACTTAATAAATTATGTTAACGTCCATGCTCAATGAAATTAGATGCACAATTATTAAACAGCATGACAAGCGCGCACCTGTCGTACCAGCAGGGGTGGCCGGCTGCACTTTTCTACAAACCGTAATGAACAGCCAGTATCATTCCCTTTACTGCAATGGCCTAGTTTTGCCAGATATAGTAAAGCACGAGCGCAAACACACCAAATTAGCAACCGTACACGCACCATTTCATATTCCTACTGCGTTTCGCTGCAGCATGTGTAATCCAAACATGCATCAACCCGCATGAGGCTTATTAGGGATGTGGTAATGGTTATTGGCCGCCCAAGGTAAGAGGTAATGGCTCGAGACAAGGAAGCGTTATTAGAAATAATCAAGGACGCCATGTAATAGCTCAATCAAATACGCTATGGTTTGCTTCTGCTTTTCTCTTTTGCTCCTTATTATAAGTAATCGACATTTTGGTATTGGCAAAATCTATACATCTTATTTATACACTATGAAATGTTGATGTGATCTGCCTATATTTCACAAAGTTCCTTTAAAAGTTACTGGTTCCGTGTGCAACGGCATTTTCTAACTTATTATGGCGAATGAAAAACACTTCGATAATTATACGTTCATTGGCGCTAGTTGTTATCCGTGCACATGTGGGAAATAAAAACAAGAAAAAGGCGAGTTTACTTTTAAAGGCCATAAAACAGAAGTAATAGGCCATTTAAGTAGGTTGAACATCATGTAAATGAGGACATTCAGATGCGTGTCAACGTTTGAATTAAAATTAAACTTAAAGGCCATAAAACAGAAGTAATAGGCCGTTTAAGTAGGTTGAACATCATGTAAATGAGGACATTCAGATGCGTGTCAACGTTTGAATTAAAATTAAACTTTATTGCCCTTAAGTTCTGCTAACTCTACTCACCCTGCTTCCAAATGGGTCGTTTTTCCGCATGTTTATGTCGTCAAAATCGATTTTCCATATGAGACTCGCCAACTCCTGTTCATAACGCCAATTTCTAATGCGAAACAAATTGAAACAAAAATTACTGATAGTGTCACATTATAAAAAAAAGCACCGCTTATTCCCGTTCGCAAATTTGACTCAAAATATTACAAGCGGATGTCTTTTCTTTTTAAATCTTGATTAATGTTAAACGTTCTGAAATAGTTATGTTACACTTTTTGTTCTATTCCTTACGATTGCTTGAAATATATTTATTAGAATTTGTTCGCATAAATATATCTGGGAAAGGCACAATTGTGTGATTTCTGTTTTCAGGTATTCAATAGTGATACAAGGGAGAGAACAGCAACGAACTCGTATTTGTACGGTAATCCACAGATTTGGAAGAAGTTTTCCAATAGAGCCTGCACCATGTGAAGTGACCAGCTCTAAAAGAAAAATCGTTCTGGAAATAACACAGACGTGAAGTCGACGTTTCGGTCATATACTCTGGTCGTCATTAAGGAGAGGCTAGCAACATTCTCATTACTATGAAAACATACTGACTGAGGTTGATACCACTGGTTCTCCATAGAATAGTTTTTTTGGAACAGTTTTTAATACTTTACTTTGACCTCAATTTGCATGTTGACCCCAAGTGGGCGTGGTAAACCTTGGTGAAGCAATGAAGAACTTTAAGACACAACTTTGCTAAAAAAGCAAAAAAAAAAAAAAAAAAAAAATCATTTTTTTTCACGTCCCAACAGTGACTTCAGAGGACAGTAAATATATTCCATTTTAGGACCTGAATACAGTAATCAAGCATCTCGATCTTTTTACTGTTGCATTTTGTGCTTGCACACACTCTAGGCCTTTTACAGAAAACGTGACACACAGACATCAGAGAGAGAGACATCAGACGACAGACAGACAGCATGGAAGCTCTGAAAAGTGGATACAAGCAGAATTCTCTTACCGATACCAAACGGCTAAAATAATCATTATAATCAGCCCAACGCCCGACAGAGCTCCAGCTACAATCTTGCCCGTGTGGTTGACCTCTGGCGGGGGGCACTTCTTGCCGAAAAAGCCACACTTGGGTTCGGCGAGTGGAGGTCTGCCTCCCACCCAATCTATCTTGGCCTTCGCGTGAGCTGCATAAACCTGCAGAACAAGGACAAACAACTTAGTCTTCATGAATACTGAAGCTTAAATGTCCCTGCGCACTTCTAAAAATACTAAAATCTGGCTTTCCCCATGCTGACGAATGTTTTTTTTGCTAGAAATATTGTTTTCATCTTGCACTATCTGACTCAGGTTGACTCGCCCTCATGCTATGGATGGAAGCGGGATGCTATACTTTACATTGATTTGTTGCCTAACAGTGAACATTTGCGCACAGCCTCTGAAAAAGCTTATCGAATGCCATAAACTAAAGCAATATTCATTCGGAAAAAATGTATTGTGGCCGGCTAAAATAACTCTTTAATACTGAACTTCTCTGAGCGTTCCTCCTCCTTGAAAGCATTTTTTTCACGGAGTAAATAGATTACGAGCCAAAATTCTTTACCCACTTCCAGACCCCAAACTGGGAAACATGATGATCAAAAAACTGTTTTGGTTCCCCATGCAGTTGAAAGGACGGACGGGAGGCAGACATTGTAAAAATACTCGTAAAAAGGTTGTATGTTTTCCCAAGAGCGTCAACTATGTTTCCTCAGACAACATTTCGGCAAACATCTTGGCAAATCCCAGGCAATATCCAGTTCAACCAGGCGCCATAAAACGTTCAGTTACACTAAAAGACTTACTGTCTTCATTTTTGTTCGAGCTGGCGCAATGGCGCCTTACATTATTTTTTGTCAATTATGTCACATGAGGCAAATGCATACATGTCGCTATTGGTACGTAAATCGCCATATTGTTTATTTAAACCTTATTGTCGATTCGTAGTATCGAACTTTATCGTCTACTCGGACTATCGAACTTTCGGAGTATTTAACCTTATTATATTTTCGGACTACTGAGCCCTTTGAACTATCGAACCTTCGGACGGTTGAACCTTCGGACTATTAAATCTTCGCGGACTAAAGTACCTTCGGACTAATGAACCGTCGGACTAATGAACCCTCGGACTTTATACGAACCTTCGGACTAACGAACCTTCGAACTAACGAACCTTCGGACTATCGAACCTTTTATTCAGGCGGTGACCCTTCACTCAACCCTCCCTCAAAATCCTAACTACCTAGCGTTCCCTGAAAGCCTGATCCACCTCTGCATATGTTCCAAAGATAGATGGACCCAGGAGCGACATTATGTCACATCATCAACACGAATAACATACATGACATTTAAATAGGCCTACGTGAACATTGCATGGAATGCTCGTGGAACCATTTGAATTCAGTATGCTTCCAGTCGGATCACGGCTCCTTTTCAATATCTTCTATGGTGTAAGACTGCCCACGGAAATGACTGGCTGAAATAACATACGACAGAATGTGCAATTATGTAGGTAACCGGATCCGTCATGAAACGGCGAGGACCATTGTTTGCACTTAATAATTTCCTATCTATGAAACAGTACACTCCTTTTGATGTATCGCACGGTATAACAATCTAGGCCATGTGCTTGGAAAGGTTTACATGTCCGATCGATTTCCATGATGCAAAATTTGTTTTAAGGGCCTGTAACTGGAAAAAAAGTAGCTCAAGTGAGCACCGACTCATTTCATATAGGGCTGCGTCGTGTATTTGTCAATCATGCCATGGCATACGTTGCTCTAGATGTTCTCATTTTCGGTAAACTCTGTGCAAATGGGTCCATAACCTACGGGCTTTTGGGCATTTTGTGAAATGCTATAGCCTTTATACCTGTGTGTCGTTATAGTCTTGAAAGATGGCAACGGGCGCAATGATGTGACCGTACGTGCTGTTCTCATCTTTCTGAATAGTGTAGACAGACACGTTTGCGTTGGCGTCGCCGTTGGCATCGATGGTTCTCCCAAGTCCAGTGATACCTATAATATTAACAAGACCAAAAGAAATATCATAAATGATTCACGTTGTTTAAAAGTTTTGCGTTTAGTTATTTCTGTCACCTTTTAATGTGAATTTTACCAAGCATACGATACAGATATTCGTGTAGCAAAGTTTAACACAAGTTAAATATAGATGAAACGCACAATGACAAAGGAAAACATTTTGTTCACAGCTTTTGGCTTCGTAGTTCATGGCTGGAGATTGCTTGTGATTGCTATGCGGACTCGAAACAAGTCTAATACATACGTATTACGGTGCTAGATTCTGATATTTTGTTAAGGAAAAGTTTCGATAGATACCCTTAAAAAAGTTTCCCTATACTATATTTGTTTTCGGTAACCCTTTCCAGCTTCTGAAAATGACTCAGCGCAGGAAACCAACATGCAGATGGCGCAACGGAGCCAGTGAAGGACACATCCCGCTCACTTTAATTCACGTGCGTGTTAAGTTGCGCGCGTAAATTCAAACGCACGTGTTTATTCGCGCGCGGAGTACGCGTAACCTTAACTAATAGTGCAATAGCCCATAGCGTCTGCGTCTGAGATATGACACTAACGCACTTGAGCATACGCGCATGGCAGCAATGGCACCCAAGTGTCATTCAATATTTTGTTTTCACCGCTGAGGGAGCACTTAAGGAGTCCATTACTTAAACAGGTAATGTGGTGATCAGGTAGCCATACTTTGATACGACCTTCCGACCACGTGGCTGATCAACGTAGAGCCGTTTCTTATGCCGTCCCCACCGGCTGCTAGAGTGCTGTTCAATGCATGGGCGTAGAGCATCACGGCGTCATACAGGTTGGCTGCGTTTTCATCAATCTTTGGAATGGAGAAAAATAAGACCAAAATCAATACATCACATTAATAGGAACATGAACGCCTTGATATGTGTAAGCAAGTAGTGGTATATTTCTTCACCTACTTATTCGGCAACACAATACGAAGATATTACTGAGATTGTATATCGCTCACGTGCAAGCTGTCCAAGTGCGCGTACATTATTGACAAACATCCTACGTGTCGTTAAAGGTGCGTGCGTACGACTTACTCGCGGGCCTAAAATCACCTCAGTTGTTGCTTCGAAATGTACCCGGTACAGAATAGATCATTTTCATGTTGCGATTTGTTTTCATTTGGATTTTTCCCATTCAGACCAAAGCGAGGCTGGAAGGAAAAATAGTCTGGTTCCTTTTTGCACAAAAACAAAATCAAAACTTCGTAAAGCAATGGATATCAACCACAAACCCTATACCTTGTTCAATGATGCACTACATGTGGAGCATGCATGGTTTCCATGATGATGTATCGACATAAATCAGACGACTTAAGACATTCTTTAGGGGTTACAAAAAATCCCCACAAACAAATGAGGAACAAATTTAAAGGAAACAGACCTATATGAGACCACAATAACTCTTCTTGTCTACCTTTAAGTCTATTTTGGATTTCGTCTTTTAAGGTATAGCTTTGGAATATCTTCGTTCCAAGTGACGCCAAAGTCTTTTTAATAGTTATATTTTACCATCGAACATTCAACCCTTGTTCAATACATTTGAGATGTCGCCACCTTTTGAATATCACGCCAAAAAGGAAAAATAAAATGAAACCTGATATACACAAACAGGATTCAGACCAGCCTCTGAGGCTGCTTCTTTCCCTTAGGAAAAGGGCTTACAGAATAACTGATCTCCAGGACGTTTCCGATCTTGCTCAAAGATAACATTTCTAAATATGAAAGTTGAGTTCATTCAACTGAATTTAAAGGCACTTCTTTCGCCCGGTTAAAACGTCAGTGCCAATCGATGAACGGTGAGGGATCAAATTCGATCAGACTTCGACACTTGAATGATTGGATGTCGAAAACCCACCATGTTGTACCTTACTGCATAGAAACAAGCGCGGAAGCGAAAAGCTCTTAGTTCAATGTGACGGAAGGGAGTTGGACCAATTCAGAGACGAACCAATAAACTCGAATGCTGGCCAACAATCACATTTTACTCAAAATGCCCGAACCCCTGCAGGTGCGCGCTTGATATGTCAAGGGCAAGATACTTCGTGTGTCGCATGTCAGCAGAAGTCCCGCGTCGAAATCGGCCGCTTGAACTCGCTCATCTCTCGTCGACGGATAATTCTAACGGACAGGGGCGCGCTAAGTCAATAGAGAGCCCTGGTCATGCAGGCTGTTACAATGCTATTCGGAGTTGAGGACACATAAACGAGGATGTGACGTCTGTCCAGGTATCTTTAGGGACCATCAGAAATGATACGAGTGTTAGAGAAGTGTGAGACTTGGGATGTGTCGCCGAACACCTCAACCTTTTTCAGCATACCGAAAATCTTGCATCTTGCCATTTTTACAAGAGTTGCACATTGTCAGCAGTGAAATAGCCACACAAAAGAAGGATGTGATTGCCAGCTATTTTCGTGTTGCGTTTCCGTATCTCCCATACTTATTTCAGTTCTATCATATTCTCCGATCGGATGCAGTTGGTGGCGCCGAGAAAGGGAGAGTTAGCGACAGCATCTCACTGCAATATCATGGCCCATGCATGCCTTTAAAATTACAGATCACGTTTATCAATTCATCAAATAGATTATGCCTGAGGTATCGTCCATCAATTGGTCACATGTTTCTCATCCACATAAGCTTTGGAAGACAAATAAGAAAGTTGTAAACAAGTAGGACTACCAGTTTTGTTGCAAATGTGGACATTTTTATGGACCAGACATGACCAATCTAATATGAAAGGATTGAAAATTTCACGTGGGCTGGGCATGCGCGTATTGAACTTGTCAAAGAGCCGTTCAATTGACGATGTCTTGTTTGAAGAAACAATCTCAAGTCCATGCAATTGACCATAGTACCAAGGAGTGCGCTTGGAGAGCCATCGTCACATTCCTACTGAGTCATTTCATGTGAAATTACCATTTGCATTCTGTTCAGTCCAATTCCCCGGCAAATTGCCCCGATGTGACATGAGATTCTTTTGGAGACACATTCAATGAACGAGTATTGATTTTGGTTTCCGGGTTCACAAACTGTTTAGAGTGTGAAATTGAAGCTCTGACGTAAAGGTGAGATTACACAGCATCCGGTAACGTTTCGAAAGGGTTATACTGTCGAGATGGACTCGGGGCTTAATAAGCGGCCGGGAGTGTTTAAACCGAAGGACGGTTCTAGGATGCGTTTCCGTAGGGCACGTCTACAGTGTGATAGACGTTTACCGACGTCACTCATGTTAATACACAGCGATGATGAAGTGGGGATGTGTATACTAGGATTTCGAGATAGTGTCTTGCTCGTAGCATCGTTGTCTTCGAGAGCCTCAATCACGATGCGAGATTGCTGAGAGCACCGATGAAAGATGCAGGTGAGCGTCTAGACTACGGAGACGAATCCATTACACGGAACGTGAATGATCGAAAGCAGCCTTTAGAGCCCCATCTAGTGAAGAGCTTAAGAGCATGCCTGCAGCATTTTCAAGACAGAGTATTTGGAGACATGAGATGTGTGATCATTTCCTACTTACTAAAGTTCGAAATTAAGGGTACGACATTGAGACTTCTTTTCATTGATGAAAAATCAGTGTTTTTTTGTTTGAAACTCGATTTGTTCGATGCTGTGGACGGGTGCTCATAGTTTTATATTCAAGCACTATACATGTGTAAGCAATAAACAAATTTGAACGTGAGCTATTAATGAAGGGTGCAATGTATAGAGGATATGGGAAAGTTCTTTAAGGTGACTTATAATCAAGGAATCGCAAGTCGATCACAAGCCATCCGGTCTCATATAGGCCTACGTGCCGTGAACTATGTCTTGCGAATGACTTGTGATTGAATTGTGACCGATGACTCGATGACAACACCAAACACAAGTACTTAATCGACCACTTCTCATTTGGAGATGATGCTCTTCGTGTGACATTCTCTAGTATACTCTAACTACGGAATACGTCTCATCAAAGGGCTCAAAACGTGACATGCTCCTCTCAAGCGCGCCCACGTCCACCCCGTGGGGACACGTGAGGGTCAAGTTTCTTCGGTATAGTCAAGTTTCTTCGGTATAAGTTTCGAAGTAAGTTACGAGTGGCAAGTGTTAACTGAGAGATAAAGCCATGTTAAATTTATCATAGGCGCCTTGGTAAGTTTCGCAGAAGCCTATAAGCTCGAGATTGCATATGCCGTAACGACGCGATGTGTAGTTTTAAAGACTTAATATTTTTGGTTAAATGATTAATCAGCTTTTATTCTGAAAACATTAAAGAAACTAAATATTATTATTTAATACACCAATGTGGACAATACCTTAGTTGCTTTTTTGCAGTCACACTCCCAATCGGGGAGCACCCGGGCAAGTTGCATTGGTTGAATGGTGCAAGCGGGATGAGTATTACTACCTAATTAACGGCCTCTATCATCACTGGAATATTAAACTACTGAGTCCGTTCAGTTGAACTGCCAAAATAATCCCAGGTAGACTTACTATAGGTCCCAAGTTTATTTCTGTCAAGTGGGTGATGTCTACGTTGAAAGGCGGCTGCTGTAGATAATACACGACCCTCTCCTGGAATGTACCAAAGTCTGGGTTCATAGCCGAGGTGTAGAAGAGCATCAGCACCGACTGGAAGTACTTGACTCGCCTCGGCCGGTACGAATCTATCTTAATATCCGCAGCTGAAATGGAAAAGGGTTGTGTTTAATGATTGGTAGGTAATGTACAACATTTGCAACTATCAAAAAAAAAAACCCTCTCCATGGCAAACTCTTGGTGGCGCACTGCATTGTGAATCGCCCGAATTATTATGAAATACCTTACTTGACTGCAAGTGAATAACAGTTCAAGAATCCTGTGAAATCATTGCACCTAGTGTGCTGTCATTTTGAAGAATAGGGGAACTTTTGTATCAATTTCCAACGAAATCCGAACGAAAATTGATATATATTTTTTTCAAATATGCCCCAAATTGTCCACATTTAGTTAGTCCACATCAGTGAACGGAGAGTCTGGTTCCCTAACCTGACAATTCCCAGACGTCTACAAATTGCTTCGTTTCGTCTGAAGTAGGGTCAGGGAACCAGACTACAAGAACAGCATTTTTTCTTTGTCTTCAAGCTTTGTCTTCTTTGTCTTCTATGAACACAAAACCTTTTTAACAGGTCAGTGTAACAATAGTTGCAATAAAATACTAACCCCAAAAATCCAGCCATTACTGAAAATTATAGCAAATTAAAGTAAATGCTGTATTACTACCTAAAAGTAATTGTATACGCATTGTACAACCCAGCTTGCGGGGGTCGATCATGGTATATAAGCAGTTACTGCAAACGACTCCGGGAATTTTGCGTCACCGTCACGAAGGTGTACATTTTAAGGCTTTGTATGCATTTATCCGACGTAAGTCATCAGGTAAGGAATCGTTCGTAGTAAGCAGGAGGTCGTTGGTTCGAGTCTTTCCCGAGGGCTTGTGATTTCTTTCTCACACGCCCTCAGGCACTACTCTAGGGCACTGTGCTTGGAAAATTACGTCGTTCAGGGGCACATTTCAATATTCATAAGTACCTTTTGACAGGTGCATTTTCGGCGACAAGGTCTCACTTAAAACCTCAAGTTTCTTGAGCTCCATCACAAATTTATTCCCCTTGTTAAATGCTAGATCTACCAGACGAAAACTTGCACGAAGAGTCACCGATTTGATATTCATTTCTTCATCAGATGTCCTTATAGTGACATGTTTTCAAACCTCTGTGTTGTATAACTGGAACAGCTAGCCTATATAGTATGGTAATGTTGGACGTTCAGAGTTTTTGCTTATTCAGTTCCAAAGTCCTTTTTTCCCCCTCTGTGCCATTCTATCCGTGTATTGCATTTAATCCTCTGACCCTCACTAAGGATAAGATGCTCTGCCGACCTTCCCTCTCCGTTTGCAAGGTTGTTTTAAATGATAAATCAAATCACAAGGTTGCCAGTTCTAACGTCTTCTCTCAAACATCTTCAAGTAACAGCGAAGACATGACACGGCGGTACTTTAATTTCCTCGCCTTTCAGATGGGTTTAATTCATTTATACTTCTGTGGGCTTCCCCGTCTAGTATGGAAGTTTTCCTTGCTTTTTCCTCTCCTCCACGTACGGCAATCCCGAAGCTTGCCAGCTATAGTGCACATTTGAGGAATACGGCCCCTTTACCAGAGAGACTTAAAATGAAAAAAAATGGCTCCTCTTGTCAAGTCTGTCAGTCACTGGTAGACGGACATTGAATGACCCTTATCTAGAACACGTCCTCAGAATACATCCTTGATCACGATTCCAGCCACTTAAAATGCAAAATAATATTAACCAAATAAAAATTTGACTCGTGTTTCGGCAGCAATAAAAAAAAAGTGTCAATGTACACTTGCACACTTGAGCGCACACTTGAGCGTGTGCAAGACACCGATTCTTTACCTTCCGGCAACCGATTTCTGAAGTTCCCAATGGTCTACATGACAGAACGTGATTCCCCATTTCCTTCGTAGTTCGTACTAAGGGAACGAACATTTCGCTTGACTCTCCTCGATTCTGGATAGCTTACAAATTAAAGGTAACATTGTGTATTCTGTCCCGAAATATTTTAAAAAGGACTTAAACTCGGATACATCTGTCTCCATCTTGAAAATATATGGTTTTAGGAAAATCCACTGTATTATTATTAATTCATAATACCTAAAACAGTTCACCAATTCCTATTGGTTAAGAGCCCGTCACATGGCCGGTTTTAAACGGTTGATAACTTAGACCGGCTGGCTGGTCTGAAACACTTTTCCAGTATCACATGAAATTTGGATTCCTATGAATCCGGTGCCTTTTACCGTTTCATTGGTTGAGCGTTCACATTCACAATCCTCACGTAGGCATGCGCAATACGAGTAGTGAGTCAGTATTTCATAGTCCGAAATTCACAATACACCGGCACAGCTGCTTTCTGCTTTCTAGAAAGGTTGTTTCGAAAAACGGTAAATTTGTTGAAAAAAATCGTTGGAAATTTGAATATATATATATTTTTTTACTTGTTTCGGCTTTTGGACCGACAAGTTTTGATTTGCCTCGGCTCGGATAATTATCAGCATCAAGACTCCAACCGGTATTAAACATAGTGTTTAAAACCGGCCAAACACACATTTATTCTCTTATTAATGCATGGTTTGGATATTTGAAATGATGTAGGGGTGAATCTTAAAAAAGCCTGCTCCAAAGGCGTGTTTGCTATTATATAGGAACCTTTCTTTCCTTTATAATCTGCCAAAATCTTTACCATTGCGAAGGGGTAAACTGTGATATTCAATGTAGGCCTAATAAGGTTGTCAAATGGGAACGGGTTTGGTTCCCCTTCCTAAATCCCGCAACCTCCGCCCCCCAAAAAACTCAAAACCGACCAGTGTTTTTGAAATATATTGCAAGGGAAGAGTACCTGCCAAAATCGCCAAATCGAGACGATCAATCGTCTTTAAATAATTTGATTTTAGATCATGATAAAGAGATGCATTTGTTTTCAGTACCGAAGGTCTTGCCGCTGTTTTAAAATGACTTCTTAATCAAACATCATCACATCAAACGCAATACGCATTTTTCTTAAACAAAAAACTGAGAACATGAAAACCTCAATAGGCCAAAAAATATGTGACAATATTTGCGCCATAGTCGCATCAAAAGGCCATTTTTTTCAGACCTAGATCTTCGTCCTATTAACCTAATTCCAGCCATAACCCAAAGTACACACGTGAATTTACCTGTTTTTTAGCCTTTTTTTCTTCCAAACGCACCCATGATTGACACATCAGCTCCCGAGGGAGGGCCGACCTGCCTTTCCGTTCACAAACCCACGGTAAACAGTTAATTTCCGACAGCCCACCTGATGACTCGAGACTGTAATCTTGCGTCTAGCGTGTACAGCCAGCTCAATTATATGGCCACAGACTAAAGTGCTTCCGTGATCTCTCGCAGACAGACACAATATCGCCAGCCCTCCGGTTTTTAGGAGCTTGAGGACTGCACTTAAAATGTGGAACAATGTAAGGGTCGTGTCTTAGATTAGAATCGTTTGTACATACGTGCTCACTCAAGAACACAACCCCATTTTAAAAAAAAAGCGGACGACCAATTCTCATTCGAAGAGGTGGGCATTTAGATATAGGCTCATTGAAAACAAATGGATAAACCAATTTAAACCAGTTCGCAAAATTGTTGCCACGCGGCGACTGATGAGCCATCATGTTGTGCTTGATTGCTCTCTATGTTTTAAAGGTGTAGGGACTTTGCAAATCATGAATATCTCACCAGAAAGAAAAAGAAGAAGATAAATCATGTACATTATGTTTTCTGATTTACATCATGTTCATAATCTCGGTAGCGTTTGTACTTGGTTTGCTGTATCAGTCTTTAAATTTTGAGCACTTTTGTTGCTTCAAACGAAAAACAAAATGCACAAATGACAAATGATCCACCCTACTTTTAGACAGACCGATAGCGTCTATAAAATGTATGCAACTACGAGAGCGCGGCAGGAAAGGTTAAGGATTGATAGATAACTGTATCTTGTTTTATGTAACAGACATACAGGAGCCAGAACGTCAATGCGAAGATGAGACATACGTCGATTAGAATTTTGCAAAAGATAAGCACCGCCAAATAGAGTTTGACGAATCACTAAAAACCGTGCACTTTGATAACATGCAGAGGCCTAAGCATCAAAGCAAAGTAAGACATAGATTATCTTTTGTTGAATATTTCTGAACTAATCCTACTTGGAGCTAGCATCGTCCGTACAAATGCCGCCATATCCATCATCGCAGCACTTAACGGTCGGTATCGTTTGAACTGGGTTATCAACACGTGTTGATAGAAACCAATAAAGCCACATCCAATTGATGCCGAAATGATACCCCGCCAAAAACAAAAAAAAGCATTAGAGGGAATGTATTCAGATTGTCCCTATCGGAGTGCGCAAAGAGCATACTCTTGGTAATAAGATTCTGCAAAACCTTGCATTGTTATGGGATCGATCCAAACATACGTAAACTCCGAAATCCCATGAGTATTTACAAGGGCAAACGAAACAAGGGCAAACGAAATAACGACAAACTCAGAAAAAAACCTGTTCAAATATGCATCAATCCCTTGAAGTGCTTTCCTACTGAAGATTTCCATTATGGATGCAATCGTTTGATCCCCAAAGCAAAAACAAAAATCGGAAAATACGATTACCTGAATTCATGCATTTTCATCTTTCGTCTTTACCTGTTAAGAACGTTTCTTTCTGCTCGGGCTTGAGGGAAGCTTTGAAGACGGTAACGACAAGATATTCCCCACTGTCGATCAGTCCCTTGGCGTCTAATTCCTCCATAAAGGCCTGCAACTCATAGTTTTCTCCCAGAAAAATGTAAACTGCGAAGAAAATACAAAATAAGTAGGATTGTTGTCATCCTCGTAGCCCTGCTCCCCCCAAAAAAGGTTGAAATGAAAGTGCACACTGATTTTTATGTGCTTTTATGATAATGTAACGAGAAAAGGACGGAATGCTCTATAATTGAACAGCTCGTGGTCCAAAACATGAATATACCAAAATTGGTGGCGGTATGATAAGGTAAATTGGGGTTAGGTAACATTAAAGATGGAAACATTGTGTGCACAAGTCTATGGAAATGTCTCCCAATTACCCATTTCCCGCAATAATAATTATGCCATGGGCTAACTTTTTCACCGCAAGAATGCATGGTGGAGAAAAACAGCTTGCGGTTAGGCCAACACCATGTGAAATTACCGTCTTTAAAACTGAGAAAAGTATTCTAATCACACTAGAGGCGTTGTTTACTCTTGAAGTCGATCAAAGATTACGGCCTGAAACATAGAGCAAACATCTTCTCATTTCTCATTTAGAGAAAAACCACTTCGAACGGTTCATTTGCAAACTCTATACCACATCTTTGAAGTCCAAACATTTTTATCTGGATCATCCAATACCGCTAAACTGTTATTTAAGGGGTACACTTTAAAAGCTCCTGGTGAAATGGACACTGTTCCAAGGATTTCCTGTTTAAAATGACCCTGAAACTTCTATAGAAAGCTGTCATTTTGACCAGAAAAATGAGGTGTCATTTCGACCAGGAAAGCGTCATTATTGACCAGGAAATGTATTAGGTCATATAAAACCCGGATTCCCGATCAATCTAAGACCAGAAACGCTTTAGGGTGTAAAGTACTTACTTCTAGTCGTTTGGTAGGTTTCCTGTATGATATCAGCCAGCGTCGTGTCTTTCATGAAATCCATGACGAAGCCAAAGTACGGAGACTCAAAGTCCCGGGTGTTCATGATGGTGATGTCATGCGACAGGAACACCTCTTCCAGGCTGGCCTTCATGCTCTGAAAGACGGGCTGGTTGGCGGCCACGATGGATACCACGTGCCAGTCGAAGTGTTGGAGGAGGGTCAGGACTGACTTGGAGAACTGCTTGTCGGTGGGAAAGGTGCGGGCGAAGGTGCCGTATTTCTCCTTGTTACTGACCACCTCCGCAGCACATAACTATAAACGAAATTTATAAAAGGGGGGAAAACAACACAAGCATTATTAAAGGTCTAAGACAACATGTTTGGACACGCTAACTTTCAATAGACCACATTGTGAAGCCAATACCGAGTTGGTCACGGAACGTTTCTCCCAAGAATTAACACAACCGTACCTTACGCTTTCATTGAAGTGGCTCTATAATACCTGAAAAAACATGACCACGTTGTAAAGTTTTGTGATAAGTGGTGAAATTGGGGCGCGTGAATTGTAGCAATCATAATGGTCGAAGGAACATTGAGTGCGCTAAAACCTGCGCATTGATCTGGTTCCACCTCAGCAACGGCTTCCAGTTGTGGTCGTGGAATTGCTCTTTTGAAATAATATAGAAAACAATATAGACAAACTGCAAACGAACTTTGGGAAGTTTGCAAGTCACTCAAGGTAACTCTACAAAGCAATTTTGCGCTCCTTCTCATCACCAATCTTCCTTGGTCACAAGATTTGAGTGGGTCATCCCAGCTAAACAATATGGTGAATACCCTTGAGCTCAATCTCCTGGATACGATCTTGCTGCCGGAGCTATATTGTTTCCTATCATGCCTTGGAGTATCTTTACGGAAGAGGATATCTTTAGTTTTAATGCCGTCACGAACGTATCTAAACGCGCCTCTTATGTGTTTCGAAGGCACGCAAACATTGACATGGCATTTTGGCGCATTCGTGATTTGTAACAGAACCTTAGGTAAATGGCAAAAAACGCATTGTAAAAAACAGTTGAGGAATGGCAAGGATCAGTAGGCTCCCCTTTCAACAAGCAGGTTGCACTACCACTGTTGAATATACCAAGTCATATCATCTTCAAGTGCGTATTGAGTTACCTTGATATAAGATTCACCCGTGTAGTACTCGCCAGCATGAATCCGGATGACATATTTTAACAGATCCTGCAAGACCTTTCTCCCGAGCCCGAGATATTTCCTCCCGTTTCTAACAATTTATTCAGGCAAATCGGAAGGGGAAATTTGACAATGAGTCAACAAAAATTTGGGCGAGAAGCGATTAAGATAGGGACTGTGTGCTTCATAAGTTGTTTGTAATGACTCATAGACCGTTACCGTTGCAGATACCCAATCGGAAGATATATTTTCTTCCAAGAGTTTTACTTATGCCTAACCAAGTGATACAAAACCATTGCCCCATAACTCCGCCTTACCGCACATGGTCTATATTTAAGCATCTTCTTCTATAACCACAGGCAGTTGCATTAAAAAAAAATGTAATCATAACTGTCATATCCACAACATAAACGAAACTCACGCCTGTCGTCGCGAGACAAATTAATGTGCATTGGCGTTAATTTATTGAAACCATTTATTTCCATTATATTGTCACGAGTTACTTCGTGCACTAACCTCAATATCTGATTCAATTCAATAGCGTGTAGACATTTGTCTTCATTTTCATGGTTTACCCAAAAAACAAAAAAAATCGACCACAACTTCCGAAAACCCTATGTTTTATCAATAGCTCCACGGTTTCATCAAGTCACACAGCTCCATGATTTATGTAACACCAGGCTCCGGCGATACTGTGCCGTTTTTGCAATCAAAGGTTACCCATCCACAACTGTTACGATTTCCCCATGTTGCTACCATGGACCGTTTGGCAGTATAACTAGATACAGACACTCGCCCGGAAAATTAATGGCTTTCTTTACCCTCCATTTAGCCCAACTAATGAAAAATGACACGCCTCGGGTAGCAGGCAAAACACGAAAACCCAATAGTGGCGACACAAATATACTGATGCTGGGATACATGAAAACATTGAGTCGACAAACCGTCCCCGTCGTTTGGCAAGTTTTAACTTTAATAAATATACTATCAAAGCGAAAGATAGAGTTACAAATCATGCAGCGAACATTTTTAGTGTTGGTTCTACAGCAATTACACTTGAGTCGTGGATGGGAAAGACAAGATGACGTCATTTGTCAACAGCTAATTCAAAAAAGCCTATAAATCTGTGCTTAATCTGTGCAATTTGACAGAATTGTCTCTAATTACAAATCAGGGGGGAACTTGTTATACAGGTAAAGGCACTCACTACGCTCCGTAATCTATAGTTGACAATTTATTATTGCATTCATAATGTAATAAACGCTCAAATATTGATATATGGTATTCAATCTGTTGGAAAAAGAAGCAGGACACTCCAAATTCGGAATTGAACCAGTTTAAATAGTTTATACTTCTCACGGGCCGATCTTTTCGTTCGATAACTCATTGGAAAACATAACTAAGGTAGTACTGAAAATAGCCACTCAGTTAAAAAATACACTGCTGTGGGTGCGAAGCCTCCAAGCACTAGTATAAAATTCCATCTCGATGTTTAAGATGCAGCTTCTACATCACCTGCGTATCGGATGGTCCCTATGAGACAGATCACATCCTGTAATGAAATCCGAGAATTAATATTTAACGATGTATTTGCGGGACTGAGAACGGCCCTTTTTCCGCGGGGACGATCCATCATCGTATCCGGGCACTGACTCGCGCTGCCCGGCACGGAATGGAGTCCGGTTTTTATCTCGAAGTCGATGAAACAACGATTTGTACTCTTGAGCGTGCCTCCGATACGCGTTTTACGCGTACGCGTTCAATCAACGGCGAGGGCTTGCAGGACACATTAACCTATCTTGAGGGTAAATATTGGAGGGTATATTACAAACATCGGGGCCAAATTCACTTTCCTTCGAACAAAGAAAGCAGGAGGTCGTGGGTTCGAGTCTCACCCGAGTGATTTTTCCAACTGTCACTAGGGAGGTAACATACTGAGTATATAGTGTTTATACGTCAGAGAGGGGCAAAACCTAATGTTGAAGAAAATGTTTGCTATCAGCAAAAACAGGTTACCAGCGAAAACGTTATGCAGGTACTGTGTGTGACTTGTTCCCAGCTGGTTTTGCGAAACAAACATTTTCTGATGAGGTACCTGATCAGAAAATTGATCAGGTGTGCCTTGAAATTTGACTTAGATGCGAAATGTGAAACTAAGGTACAGAAATGTCGAAACGACACAAAAGTCATGCGCATTTAAACAATTCATTAACTCATTGCCATCTTTACGCTATACCAAAATGTACATCATGCATTATAAATATTCCTTCTCGTCTGATTTGCAATTTACTCATTATGCAATAGTAATAAGATAAAATCTAATCAAATTAACGCTATGCCTCAAAGCAAGTCGCAACCCCATTTCATCCCTATCAAGTTTCAGCACCAATTCGTCAATACAAATACGATACAATATAAATGCATAACAAAGCAAAATTGTGTCAGTGCGTTATGCCAGAGGCCAATTCTGATCGGCGAAAGCTACCTCACTATTTAGAAACCAATCAATAAAGAGACCTCTAAAGCATGGGCATTTTACAAAGGATCTATTCCAAAATTCTGGGTCAGCATGTTGCCGCCTTTTCCCCAGCGATTGAGTTCATTTCGGTCAATACCGTCAGCGTTGGCAATTTGAACCAATGAAGGCTGTCCACGTTTGTCACGCTGAATTCCGTTCCTTTCATTTTATCCCCCCGAAGAGGTGTGAATTTGAGCGCAATTAAAACGGGGTCAGCGCATAATGCTCGTATATCAAGAATACTCGCCCCTTCGCTACTCGTTACCGAACCGGCGACCTCTCAACAGTCCGAAGGTTCGTCAATCCGAAGGTTCGATAGTCCGAACACACACATTTCCTATACTCGGAGCTTCGTTGGTCAGAAAATGACATAAATTTCACAGTCCATTAGGTTCATTGGTTTGAAGGTTCGATAATCCGAAGGTTCATTTGTCCGAAGGTTTAAAAGTCCGAATTAAGCACAAGGTTCAATAGTCCGAAGGTTCATCAATCCGAAAAGCATGCAAAGTTCAATAGTCAGAATCGACATTGAACGTTTTGTTTCGATTCGGGCTATCGAACCTTATCGTCTATTCGGACTATCGAACTTTCGGATTATTTAACCTTTCTATCGTCGTACTAATGAACCCTTCGGACTAACGAGCCTTCGGACTAAGGAACCCTCGGACTATCGGGCGGTAACCATTGCACCTAAACACCGTCCCTCAAAATTGCCGACAAAAATTCCCTTTTCTAAAAATGTTATTCGATTCGAGAGCCACCATTTGAACAGTGAAATAATATTATGATTAACTGCTCTTTCTGGTTGGCTGTAGTTGTTTTACACCTTATAAAAGCTGATTGCAAACGAGTGGGTGTTTAGTTTGGTATAAATTATGTATACTTTAGGTATCTCCGCATTATGGCAGGTGTTCGAGGTAATCTATCCCACTGCGCCTCAGCTACTTAATGTAAACAATTTTTTATAGTAACAGGCAAACACACATGTTCATAATAGTTCATTTGGTCGATATAATTGCCTTACGGGAGTGAGCAAATTTGGCTTTTGGACACGACTTCTGGCACTAGCTAAACAAGCCGAAAGATTTACCGGTAAGCAAGTAAAGTCTCTCCCGAGCAGAGCCCATGCTTGTCTTTGTCTGAAACGATTATATTCCCTTTGAAGGGGATCCAGTCTATCGCAGGTTATCCCCAGCCAATGCTAAGACAGATAATAGACATATAGGTGAAAGGAGAGCGACCAGAGCCTAGGGACATTCAACGTCAGGATTTGAACTCTAATGAACCTCCTTTCATGAGTCACAAACATGCATCACTTTCTCTTAAACCATAGCACATATTAGGACATAATACCAAAGCGACTCAGAGACATCTGACAGTGGCCACTTTCAAATAAACCTAAGAGAACTCGAGGCCAAAACAAAATACCAGAAAGAAATGATTCTCAGTTCAAATGGAAGAACCTACATGTTCCAAGGTAGGACATTTCTCTTCTCCCCCCCCCCGATCCGTGATGCAGCATGCACTCTCAAGACAAACCTTTTACTGGGTTAACTCATCGAATCAGAGATAACTAAACGTATGCAGAAAAAAAAAATCGA